GAAACGTCAGCCTTCCTGCTCCTCTGATGCTGCTTGGCCTGCTGTGTTCATCCAGCTCTACACCTTGTTATCTCAGATTCTCCAGCATCTGCAGTTCCTGCTATCTCCTTAACAATGACCTGACCACTTTCAGTTTGTTCGATCTTAGAGAATCAAATGAGACAAATGTCAAAACCGTAGTGCAGTCTAAGCTATATGGTGCTCTGTTAATTTTCCAATGTACACTTGCTGTCTTTTCTTTCACCCACAGTTCTCATTTCTTAGGTGTGCTACTCTCCAGTCGCCTATGCAACTTATTGCAGCTACTGCCCATCTTAACTTCAAATTTCCTTCCTGCTTACATCCAAGTGTGCACTTAATGCTACAGGTTCATTTATTTTTTGCATAAAACCTGTTGTGATAAATTGAAACATTCCACTGGTAGTTGCACCTGTGTAATGACAGTTGTATTTACCACTTTGTATGGATCCTTAGTATGGAACATATTTACTGTGCATTCATTTTTTTTTTTGTGTACGTGTATGTGTGAGAAAAGTTCCTATGCCCAGATGAGTCACTGGTGAAGTATTTTGATGTGTCTCAGGGATGAGATCAAAGAGCACAGACGTGCAGATTCACAAATTCGTAATGTTTTTCCGACTTCAGTATTTCAGTTTTTAAATTCCATACATTCTCCTCCATACAAACTAAGTTCAGACAACGTAAATTCATAAAAATGTGTATATTGAGGTTCTTCCCTGTTATCAAAAGCTTATTGTAGATATTGTTAAAAGTTTGTACATCAGAAATATGCATTTCTGTTCTCCACTTTTAGGGAGGAAGAAAATTATACATTCAATGATATCAAAAACAAAATTGTTATTTTGAGAAAATTCAATGTTCTGCTCAAATTGGAACTGGAGCTGGTAAGTAATGAAGTTAATGGTAGTTTGATTAATTTTGGCTTTGACTTAGAGTGTGGTGGGTAGGACAGAATTCTCTCTGAAAAGTCACGGTCCTTTTAAAAAAAAAAAAATTCTGTGGTTTACAAATGATTGGAAAATATTGATTGCATGCAAAACAAGATTTCGCAGCAATATATTGTAGTTAGGCAACAGTACAATGTATTAAGAGATAATGCAGAAAGACATTAAACCGTGACATTTAGGCTTCTAATTTGCATTCAAGTAGAACATTGGAGAAAATAATAGTCTCAAAATTCTTTTGAAGTAAAAGATTTTGTAAGCAGTGGGAAACATTAAAGAGAAATTAACTAAGGCGTGAGAAAGCATAAACAAAATATTTGAGTATGGTGGCAAGCAGTGTTCCCTCTAATTTTTCTTTCGTCTTATGGTCCTCTGAGATTTGGATGTGGCAGCAACATCTGGCAGTGTAAATCAGTGCTGCAATCTGTTTTGGCATGGTGATCGAAATGCGCAGAATGTTGGAGATGTACAGCTTCGAGGGAATGTTATTGGCAAATAAAGTCACTAGATTGAGAGCAGAGTGATGAAAACAGCTGTCGCCAAGAGCAAGATGTTTGTTTACTGGGGGGAGGCAGAAGGAGATTGCACAATAGAGCGTTAAAGAAAGTGTGAGGATGAGTATCGGGAGGGAGCAGGTAGGGATGATGAAAGTGGGAGGCCAAGGTGGAAGCTCAGCAGTTATGCACATGCCACACTGTACCACTCACAATCCTGTCTCTTTTGTACCCTCAGTAGCAACTCCGTGTGCGCTCTCATACCACCTCAGTGCCTGCACGTACCCCATCAACCTTGCTTCCACGCTCTGTTGTGTCCCCAACCTTTCTGGCCCCGCATGCATGCATTCCTTCCTTACCACTCTCTCAATCTGCATGGAACCTTCCCTCCTTCCGCTGAAGCTTGGTTTAGCAAATGTAGCATGCAGCAAGTAGTTAGTTTATCAAATGGTTCATCTAGCCTTTCTGTAAAAGATGTGGTGTGTAACAGCAAGAAGGTTTACTAGACTGAATCTTGGGATGAAGTGATAATGGTATTAACAGAAATTAAACCAAGGAAGCCTATTAATAGGTTATCACACTTGGAGAAAATTAGGAACAGGTAGATGCTCTGACCAAGTGTCTAAAACATGAGGCTACAGTCTCAGACTAAGTAAAGGAGAAACCTCCCTCCAAAATGTTGTGAATATTTGGTAGTCTGTTTCCCATTGCTGGGGATGGTCTGCTATTAAGTAATTTCAAGACTCAAATTGATAGATTCTTGGATTCCAAGGAGGTCTAGGTATTCAGGCTGATGTAAGAGGTAATAGTTGAAGCAAAAGATTAACCATGATCTTTTTGACTGGCAGAGCAGGCTCATGAGAGGTTTGTGAAGAAAATTCCAGCGTTGAAATAATGACTGAAGGCTTTGCCCGAAATGATTAATGCAGAGCGAGACGTGGATATTTACTAGACATTGGTAGGGATTAGGAGGCTATGGCAGCCATTTGGATATTCTCAGTTAGTGAGATAAGATAGTTGTCCTTGGCAAGTGACGATGTGTGTTTGAGGTGACGGTGGATGATTGGTGAAATGGTCAGAGGCAGTTCTTGAGCATCCAGAGATTGACTTCACTGTTTAGAGTAATTTAGGAGTAAGAACAAGATTTGAATCTGGAACATCTGGCCAGTTCATGTGCCAGGCAGGTTGCAGAGATCTTGCTGGGCTGGGATTATCTGCCGAGTGATTCATCAATCTTGGCCGTGGTGAACAAAGACATTCAAGAGTTATCAGACCTATTAAGTGCTGCAATCCCGTGAACAGCCTTCTGATACTACTAGTAATACCTAATTTGTTTTTTCACCCCTTCAGGAAGATTGTGAATTCTATCTAGTTGTTCATGAATTGAAGATCCTACCAGCGGAAACTGGTTTTTCTGATGCATGTTCATGGTATGAGGTGTTCTAAATATACTTCACATTACAATCATTATTTTTTGTTTTGTTAAATATCTAAAGTTTCACAACTCTTCAAATTTCAGCAACTCGGACCCTGCTGTGCAGAAGAAGTTGAGAGAATTCTGGCAGTAAGTAAAGAGTATTTCTAAAGCTTGTGAGGATTGTGTACGAATAAATACTTAACTGAATTAATAATTGTTGAGAGTTGGAAAGGGGCATCAATTCCATTTGCAGCAATCCTTTTGAGATTTGGAATTCTGTTACAACCTTCCATCTTGCTACATCCCTCACACCACCAAAATTTCTTACTGTTTCTGTCTTAACCAAGTCTTTGATCAGATTTATTCTGCTTCCTTTTGTGAAGTTATTTGAAATATTTTACCTTAATAACTTGCTGTAGGAGTGCGATTGTGTCACTGTTCTTTTGCTTTATATTATATTTTTGCACCAAAATCACCAATGGTACCTTGTACTTGAATATGCCTCGATCTTATTTGATTGTTGCACTGTTTTGACAGTCAATTGATTTTAGTTTGAATCTTATGCTCCAAGCTCTCGGCCTAATTCACAAATCATGCTATTGTCTCCTTTGAATTTTCTTTTATGAATGATGTTGAAATTTTGTAAAAATTCAGATAAGAGAATTGATATAGGGGCCAACCACATTGTTGCATCAGTGCTACTGAAAGTACAGTTTTCCCAAATGGAAATACCTCAGTCTCAACTAGGCTGACTTTGTCATAATCCAGTCACTTTTCCATAGGAGAGATGGATAAATGAACCTGGGAATTCTTGCATAATTATTGTAGTCCATTTACTGAATGGCATTGCTGGAGCCTTGAAACAGAGTGGAGGTAGCCTTGAAAAGGGGAATAATAACAACAAGCAAGGGTTACTATTAATTCTCCTCAAAATTTAACTGGATTTTTACAGATTTCAAGATCAACAAATTAGAAACAATTAGAAAATGTATTTATGATTATTGATTAATGAGCTGAAACTTAATTTTGTAGAAACCATGTGCATAATTTGACAGCGCAATCAGGATCATTTTCTGGTAAGCTACCTCAACATTTTCCCCCATATGCTGCATTCCAATAATGTTTGAATTTCTTTAATTTTGGTAAAATTAGATTTTAAAATGCGTTACGGCAATTCTAAAAGTACTGGTGTACAGTTGTAGTAAAGAAACCTTTGCAATGGATCTTTAGTTTAAAAAAACTACAGAATGTAGAGGAGACAAGCACTTTTTTTACATACACATGTTTTAGTTTGTATTGGGGGTGATTGTTTGGAATTTTAAAGTTCAGCACCTGTATATACAGATATACCTAACATTTAAATGTGAATTTTGAGTTCTTGACGTGAGGAAATGCTGATGCTGAGCAGTGGAACCATTCCCTTGTCAGGCACCCATCAAGTTCTTCCAAGTCATATATAACACTGTTAGATAGCCTAATGATATACCTAGACCTGACCTTAGATGAATTTCCATGACTGCACCACTGTATCCATTTTTTCCCTTTTTACACGCCGTCCTATGACTTGTCCAGGGCAGGGTGTCAATTAATACCAACTTAGAGGCACTTCTATGGTCTATGAAATGGCCCAATTTCACGTACAACAGAGAATTTTATATCAGTAATATAATCCAAATCTCAAGTGAACTACGTAGGTTACCACCTGAACCAACAATATAACTTGTTGGGAAAGTAAGTTGACTTAGTTAAGACCTGCTCACATGGGTTGAGTTTGGTGCTGAGTGCAGGACCATTCTTCCTTACCAGAAATGAGGCAGATAAACCATTTCATGTATGTCTTCTACATCTTGCAGCTGACTCAGAAATTACATTGCCTGAGGCCTTTTAGAAGGATACTTGGCCATCTGCTGAGGCAGAAAAAGTGCATGATGGCCTGCAAACATGATTTGTTTTTAAAAGGTAAAACTGAGGTCATGTTTTAAATGTTGTACTGGAGTGAGGCACTCTAATAATGCCATATGTTTTTTTTATGGTATGCAACTAGTATTGTGAACAGTGGAATTTGAATCTTTTAAGGCTGCAAGATATTTCTGAAAATTGCCACTTTTCTTCCCTCTTCTGAGGACACTGACTTGTGCTGGGTGTAATTTCAAAGTCACTTGAAGCTAACCTTTACTGATCCCGAATGGAGAATTCAACTACAGGGACATTGCAAACTGGCTTGTTTCTGATGTCATCCACCTTCATGCCAGCCTTGCTTTTGACAGTCGGGTTCGTTAGAAGGATATCCCCCTCAACATTGTGCGAAATTGTAGAATTCTAACTTCTAAGATTAGTTAATTCAGAAACTAAATTGGATTCCTTTTAGCCTGTATGGTTTATTGCTCACAGAATGTTTATCCAGCTACTCTTTTTCTTAAAAAAAAAATTCAGTAGTTATTAAAATTGAAGCCCAGATTGACTTACAAACTGAACACGGAAATTAACTTACAAGATAAACTAGACATGGACGGTTAACTTTCACAGATTATTAATCTAAATCAGTTTGTTGAAAATCAATTTAGAGCATGACTTTGAAATAATGTTTCACAGAATGTGATAGTAAGTTTGAATTTGCTTGTAGTAAGATGCTAGTGTTTTCTCCATTGTAGAATATTTTATCTGGCTACTTTAACTGTTCAAGCTTTAATTTTGAGATGTAACAAAAGGTTTTATCCCAAGATCCTAATTCCCTATGGAACCAAGGTTTTATAATCTGGAGAAATGATTGTTCACTCTGAAACACCTTGTGCTCTTCGTCTAGGTCAACAACTTTTCTGTTATGTGATGGATTTGTCCAAGAGGTGCGTGTGAGCAATAAGAGATTAGGCATAAAAACCGAAAGAACTGCGAATGCTGTAAATCAGGAACAAAAACAAAGTTGCTGGAAAAGCTAAGCAGGTCTGGCAGCATCTGTGAAGGAAAAATCAGAGTTAACGTT